ATCTACAGGATGTCTTCTGCTGAGCTTGAGGAGCTCAGAAAGCAGCTTGAGACCCTGGCCAGCAAAGGCTGGATACGGCCAAGCACTTCTGAATTTGGGGCACCAGTCCTCTTCGTCCCGAAAGGGAATGGGGAATTCAGAATGTGCATCGACTACAAGGGTCTCAAAAAGATCACTAGGAAGAGTACAAAGCCACTTCCTAGGATCGATGACCTTCTGGATACGGTGCAGGGCTGCAGAATATTCAGCAAAGTCGACCTCAAATCTAGATATCACCAGATTGAGATTGCAGAGGAGGATGTCTATAAGACAGCCTTCAAGACCAGGTATGGTACTTAGGAGTTCCTGGTCATGCCATTTGGACTTTGCAATGCCCCAGGTACCTTCCAAACAGAGACGCACCGCATCTTCAAGCCTTACCTAAACAAATTCATGGTTGTCTACCTGGATGAGATCATGGTATTCAGCCAAACTGCCAGGGAATATGAGGAGCACTTGGCTCTAGTCCTTCAGTCGTTACATGACAGCCAGTACAAGATTAATAGAGAGACGTCTCTTTTGGAGTTCCCTCTGTCATCTATTTGGGTCATGTAATCTCTGGAGATGGCCTGGCTCTTGAAGCAGCCAAGGTAGCTGCTATTCAAGAGTGGCCTCAACCACAGACAGTGAGGGATGTCAGGTCCTTCATGGGTTTAGCTTCCTACTACAGAAAGTTTGTCAGGAACTTTTCTGCAGTGGCTGCACCCCTGACCAACCTAACAAAGAAAGACACTCCTTTTCTTTGGTCCCTTCCCTGTCAGTTGGCCTTCACACGACTCAAGAAGGCCTTGACTCGTGCACCAGTGCTGAAGTTGCCTGACCCCACTCTGCCATTCATCCTGACCACTGACGCCAGTCAATATGGCATTGGGGCAGTTCTTCAGCAAGATGATGGGAACGGTCTACGGCCTATAGAGTTCATGAGTAAGAAGATCAAGACACAGAAGCTTCGGGACTCTACCTACGAGAAAGAGCTATATGCTCTTGTCTGTGCCCTGAAACACTGGAAGCACTTCCTCTTGGGAAGACACTTCAAGATCTTCTCTGATCACTCCACCTTACAGTGGATGAAGTCCCAAGGAGAGTTGAATGATAAGCTAGCACGATACATTCAGTTCATAGACATGTTCGACTTTGACCTGAAACACAAGAAGGGTTGCTACAACAAGGTAGCAGATGCCCTCTCTCGTAGGCCTGACTCTTTTGCATTGATCTCCTCCACTCAATCCTTTGGAGAGGAGACCCGTCAGACCATTCCTCGTCTTCTCCCTCAGGACCCGACTTTTCGGCCCATAGTGAGGAATCTGCAAGCGGATCCCAATGCTGAACCCGGCTATGCCCTGAGTTCAGACTTGCTTTATACCTACAGCAGAGGTGAGGAGTGCTTGTGCATTCCCCAGGATCAGCGGCTCAGGACACTACTGATGTCAGAGTGTCATGATGCCTGTGGACTCTTTGGGTTCTTAAAGTCGTATGCAGCCCTATTTCAACACTTCTTCTGGAAGGAGATGCGGAGTGATATGTTGCGCTATGTGGAAACCTGTGAGCTTTGCCAGAGGAACAAGGTCCAGCGTAGGCCTCCTCTGGGACTACTCAAACCCTTACCCATACCTGATGGCCCTGCTGAATCCTTGTCGATTAACTTCACAGATTTAGGCAAGACCACCCTTCGTGGCATGCGTCAGGTTATGGTCTGCATGGACAGGTTCTCCAAATATGCAGAGTTCATCCCCTTGCCAGAGGTAGCTAGAGTCCCGGCCGTGACAACAGCCTTCTCAGAGAGGTGGGTCACACACCATGGACCGCCCACTTCTATAGTCACTGATAGAGACCCCCGATTTTGCAGCGATGAGTGGCAGTCCTACTCTAAGGACTACCTGCATTCACGATTGGACATGACTTCTGGTCATCATCCTGAAGCCAATGGTCAGGCTGAAGTGATGAACCAAGTCTTATTCCAATTGCTGAGTCCTGTCATCTCTCTAGATCAACAGGACTAGGATCTCCACTTGGCTCCGGCACAACTTGTTTATAATATGTTTGTCCACTCCTCGACTGGGTTCGGTCCATACCGGTTGCACTGGGGACATGAACCACGACAGTCTCTCGATGATATCATCGATAAGGCTAAGTCAGACCTGACACCAGGCACCGCAGAGTTCACCAGACGCTATCGCATAGATGTGGAAAGAGCATGGGCGAACTTATTCAAAGCCCAAAAGGCAATGATTGAACAAGTTAATCGCCACAGGCGGCCTTCCCCCATCCGCACTGGTGACTATGTCTGGGTAGCCAGTTCTGAGTTATCGAGGGAGGAGGATATCTCCCCCAAGTTGTTGCCTCGTTACTTGGGTCCATGGCAGGTCTTAGATACACTGGGCGCTGATCCATTCGGTCCATCCTATGTCATTGACGTCCTGCTGCATCTGCGAACCTACCCGGTCTTCCATGCATCTAAGCTGCTGCCATTCACCCCAGCTGATGCATTCCCAGACCGGCCTCCTCAATTTGGTCCACCGATCCCTGGTAAGGGATATGACGTGGAATGGATTGAGGA